CTTTTCTGGGGAAGAGGTGACCTGTTCAAAAGGGACGGGTTGCACCTGAACTGGAGGGGGAACCAATATCATGGTGGGCAGATTTGCTAGTGCTGCACGGGAGGGTTTAAACTAGAGTGGCAAGGAGGTAGGATCCTCAACAGCAGGGAGGCAAGTGCAAGGTTGGAAGGAGATACAGTAATCAGAAATAGCAAGTTGAAGAGACAGGTCAGGCTGGAACACAACAAAGAGCAAGGAATGCCTATGGTACTAAATTGCATTTATTTCAATGCAAGAGGGCTGACAGATAAGGCCGATGAACTCAGGGCATGGATAGGTACGTGGGACTGGGATATTGTAACCATTACAGAAACATGGCTAAAGGAGGGACAGGACTGGCAGCTTAATGTGCCAGTGTACAGATTCTTTAGGTGGGACAGAGGTGGAAGAAAGAGGGGAAGTGGAGTTGTATTTTTGATTAAGGGGAATATCACAGCAGTAGTCAGAGATGAAATAACTGAAGAAACATTGAGTCAAGCTTTGTGGGTAGAGCTAAGAAATAAGAAGGGAATGGTGAGGTTTTTGGGGTTGTACTATAGGCCCCCAAACAGTCAACGGAAATTACAGGAACAAATATGCAGGGAGATTGCAGAGACCTGCAAGAGATATATCGTTGTCATAGTGGGGGAATTTTAATTTTCCTAACAAAATCTGGGACTGCCATAGTGTTAAGGGGTTAGATGGGTTAGATTCATTTAGGAGTTTCCTTAATTTACACAAAGAATATGCATTATAATAAGGCTCCACCAGTCATTAGCAATTTAGGAATGTTAGCAATTTGTTAAATGTGTTCAGGAAAGTTTCCTCAAGCAGAATATAGAGGGTCCTAATTGGGAAGAGGCAAAACTCAACCTACTTTTGGGAAATAGGGCAAGACAGGTGACTGAGGTGACAGTGGGGGAGCACTTTGGGACCAGAGACCTATTAAATTCAATTAATTTTGAAATAGTTATGGAGAAGAACAAAATTGGTCCACAGATTCAAGTTCCAAATTAGGGCAAGGCAAATTTTGATGGAATTAGACAGGAGCTTGCAGGGATTGATTGGAGTAGTTTATTTCAGGCAAAGGGACCTCTGGCAAGTAGGAGGCCTTTAAAAGTGTGATAGCTAGAGTTCGAAGTCTATATGTTCCTATGAGAGTGAAGGGCAAGGTTGGCAGCAGGGAACTCTGGATGACAAGAGATACTGAGGCTTTGACCAGAAAAAAGGAGGCATGGCTCAGGTACAGGCAATTGGGGTCAAGGGAATCCCTGGAGGTATGTAGGGCATACAAATGTTTACCAAAGAAGGAGATCAGGAGGGTGAAAAGGGGGCACAAGATAGCTTTGGCTGAGAAGATTATGGTGAATCCAAAGAGGTTCTTTAAGTATTAAAGGAAGAAGGATAACTAGAGAAAGAATAGGACCCATCAAGGACCAAAGTGGACATATATGTGTAGAACCGCAGGAGATGGGCATATCACACTAGAGGAGGTGTTGGAAGTATTAGAATGCATGAAGGTGGATAAGTCTCCTGGTCCTAACCACGTATATCCAAGAACCTTGCAAGAAGCTAGAAAAGAAACTGCAGGGCCCTGGCTGATATATTTGCATCATCGTTAGCCATGGGTGAGGTCCCAAAAGACTGGAGGATAGTGAATGTTGTGCCCTTATTCAAGAAGAGTTGCAAAAAAAACCTGGGAATTATAGACTAGTAAGCTTAACATCTGTGGTATTCTGAGGGATATACATGCATTTGGAAAGGCAGGGTTGATTAGTAGTAGGCAGCATGTCTTCGAGCATGGGAGATCATGCCTCACAAATTTGTTAGAATTCTTTGAAGTGACCAGGAAGGTTGATGAGGGCAGGGCGGTAGATGTAATCTATATGGATTTCAGTAAGGCCTTTGATAAGGTTCCACATGGTAGGCTGCTCTGGGTGGTTAGATCGCATGGAACCCAGGGACAGCTGGCAGATTGGATACACAATTGGCTTGATGGTAAGAAGCAGAGAGTAATAGTGGAAGGATGCTTGTCAGACTGGAGGTCTGTGAATAGTGGTGTGCCTCAGGGGTCAGTGCTGGGCCCATTGCTGTTTGTTATCTATGTCAATGATTTGGATGAGAATGAGGATGAGAAAGCATGATTAGTCAGTTTGCAGATGACACTAAAATAGGTTGCATCGTGGACAGTGAGGAAGGTTATCTGAAATTGCAGCAGGATCTTGATCAGCTGGGGAAGTGGGCTGAGAAATAGCAAATGGAGTTTAATTTAGATAAGTGTGAGGTGTTGCATTTTGGAAAGTCAAATCAAGGTAGGAGTTTCATGGTGAATGGAAGGGCTTTAAGGAGTGTAGTGGAACGGGGGACCTTGGAATTCAGGTGCATGGTTCTCTGAAAGTGGAGTCACAGGTAGACAGGGCAGTGAAGAAGGCTTTTGGCACACTGGCCTTCACCAGTCAGGGCATTGAGTATAGGAATTGGGCAGCTAAGTTGCAGTCGTACAGGACTTTGGTGAGGCCACCCTTGGAGTAATATGTTCTGTTTTAGTCACCTTGCTATTGGAAGAATGTTATTAAAATGGAAAGAGGGCAGAAGAAATTTACAAGAATGCTGCCAGGACTCAAAGGACTGATTTATAGGGAGAGGTTGGACAAGCTAGGACTTTTTTCTTTAGAGCATAGGAGACTGAGGGGGGATCTTATAGAAGTGTATAAGATCATGAAAGGCATGGATAGGGTGAATGCATTCAGTCCTTTTAACAGGTTTGGGAAGTCAAGGACTAGAGGGCTCAGTTTAAGGTAAGAGGGGAAAGAATACATGGGAACCTGAGGGCAACTTTTTTAGACAGAGGGTGGTACGCATATGGAATGAGCTGCCAGCGGAAGTGGTTGAGGCGAGTGCATCAACAACATTTAAAAGACATTTGGACAAATACACGGATAGAAAAGGTTTAGAAGGATATAGGCCAAGTGCAGGGCAATGGGGTTAGCATGGATCGACATGGTCAGCATGGTCCAGTTTGGGCCAAAGGGCCTGTCTCTGTGCTGTAGGACTCTACGACTATCTAATTGTAAAAATTTTTTTGCCAGAATTTGCAATGAGAGGCAAAATGATGATGCTTGTTGCTGCCATGAATGAAAGTTGTCCATAAAGATCTAGCAAGCTTTAAGAAATTGATTTTACCTTTACTGGCATTAAATTAATTTTGGAATCAGCTTCGAGGATGGTTCAACAACAGTGATGTTACCTTGCAAATGAAGCAGCCAATCACAAAGCAGAGTTCTTATAGTCAGCAAACCAGGAAATAACAAGCAGGTTTTAACATTTATGTTTCACTAAATCATCAAAAGTAAAATAAACATGATACATGATCAAGGTGGGGGAAGAAGTACAAGTTTCTTTTAAATTGTACTTTAAAAGTCTGTAGACTTTTAAAATCATTGAATGAAAATATCATTCATATTTGTGAAATGTTAAAACCCAGAGAGTTGGTTCAGCACTGTTTAAAACTCAGTTCACCTCAGTCAACTCTAACTTTTTCAAAGTCTTTTTTTACAGAAACAGTTGTAACATGAAAAGTGCAGGTTCAGGCCAATTCAGATTTACTCAGGAGTGATGAGACACTAACAGCAATGGATTTCTGTGACCAACTGTGCATGTGCAAAAACTAAAAGTTTTGCCATAACTACAACTGTATCAAAACGCCATCCCTCATAAGTTTGTACATAGATATATATACCCTTTCTATAATTCTATCATTTATCTTTACTTCAAGCCACTTTGCTCTGCCTAACAGTCCTGAAATTAAAGTCTCCAACAAAAAGGTCTTTGCTTTCACTTCTAACGTCCTGATTTCTAAACAAAAAAAATTCTGACACATTACTGTTATAGCAGGAAGTCTGTAGGTTATAGTTTTAACCCCTTTCTTCTCCTTAATTCGAGCTAGTGACTTAAGGAATGATCAGCAATTAAGGATGATAGCAAAATATGTGAAGTGTTTGCAATATCATAAAGTGGTTCTTAAGAACATACCAGTCTATCGTGAGAAGGATCTTTTGGTTTTCAGATGTGGCTACAATTCAGGTAAATAAATAAAATGACAACAGACAGTGAAGACCTGAAGCCAGTTGGGGGAGTGGGTGATAGGAGACAAAGTTGAGAGATATGTACGACCCCAGCCTCCTCACAGGCCTTCCTGGTTATCTGAGACACTGAGAGGAGCCCCTAGAAAAGAGAAGGTAGAGATTGTGTGAGAGTGTCAGTTAGTGCCACCCCCGATCAACAGCAGGACCGGCCGCTCACCTGGCATCGGCTGCAGCTACACCATCCCCAGCACAACACAACGGAGCCCGCCCGGTGCCATAGCTGCTGCAAGCCTCATCACCACTGAGATCTCAGCAAGGGTTCAATGCAGCAGGCTGCTTGGTGACCCTCTCTCACTGACAGTCAAGGACAGGCATGATGTAGAGGTGCCAGTGTTGGATTGGGGTGGTCAAGGTCAGAAATCATCAGGTTTATTTGAAAACACAAGCTTTCAGAGCTTCAGTTTAGGACAGGGAATGAGCCCGGCCCTGAGGCTCCAGGTCCCCAGGCTCTAGGCCGGGCGCGTTGTTTATCTTCCGCCCACGTGCTGACCACACACCCAACCCTCACCATCATTATCTCCTCCCATTTCGCGCTGCGTGGGCGGGGCCCCAGGAACGGGGCGGGGTCGGCCCCGGTGACGCATTGAAGGGCGGGGTCGAAGAAGCAGGCGCGACGTGATGAATGACGTTGCGTGGGTGGGTTGGTCCCTGAGGGGGGAGTCCCTGGGAAGGGGCAGGGTCCCTGGGAAGGGGCGGGGCTTGATAGCGAGTCTGTTTGAGTCGGACAGGCCGGACATGGGTTGAAGGAGCGCGGGGCGGAGCCTGAGGGGGAAAGGGGCGTGGCCTGCGACTACTTCCTCCGACTGAGAACGCGCGCTCGACTCCCGCCAGCGATTTAAAGGGATCAGCGCAGGCGCCGTGAAGTGAGGCTAGCCGGCTCTGTGGAGCGGAGTTGGGTTAAGAGCGGGAGCGGGAGCCGGCTGAGGGCTAACTGGAGGGAAGCATCAGCGGCAGGAAGATAGGGGCCGATAAGACCATAGAAACGGGGTACAGAGAGAGGGGTCACCTGGTGGTGAGCACCAGCTGACACCCCATTAGCCCGGGCTGGTCGTACCCACATTCTTCCCGGTTAAACAGCAGGCAGCGCGGGGTCCCCGCTTCGGCCATCTTCGGCTGTTCGCTGAGATCAGAGGCCGGCTTGGGGCTGAGTGCCCTCCCTCTCATCCCCTCTTTTCCCAACACTAGTAATGTGACTGGGCCGGAGAAACGTGTCCCCCAGCCCATCCCGCGCCCAAACCTGAGGTCCACTCCTGTGAGTAAGCAGCAGCAACCACCTCACTACCTCGAAAAGCGACAGTAACTTCATGCAGCCTTCTCCCTTCTGAATTACAGGAGATCTTTAACCCACACAACCAACTCTGAAGATGCCCAGAAAAAGGTACACTTTAAAGTGAGTTGAAAGCAGTGCCGTGTTACTAGTTATAAATTCACGGTGGGTGTCCCCAGAGGCCTAATCTGTACAAGGCATTTTGCCATAATGAGCAAATGTGTATTTTTTCAAGCTATTATTTCTTTTCAGTGAATTAGTAGACCAATCAACGAAGACTGAAGAAACGAACAGGGTTGTGCTGCGTACCCGAAAGCGAAAAGCCGACGTTGCCATTGTAAGTTTAACCGCACATGAATATGCCATTGTGCTTTAGCACGCTTTCTAAGTTTGGTAATCGGTCTTTTCTGATCGTAGTGTTTGCAAGACTTGGATGAAGTTACAGAAGTGCAGTCTACGAAACCATATGGAAAGGAGGTAATAGAATATGGGGTCTGCAACTTTTATTTAACTATGATTTTTACTATGCGTTGATGATTGATTGATTGTTTAGCCAACTTTTTAATCTTGAGCTATTTCGATTAGGGTCAACATGTTGCCATTAACTGAACGGCAATGTTGTACAGAGTTTATGCATATATATCTGGGCCTTGGTCCTCTTGAACATGTTTTGGTTTCTCAGGGTCACTTAATTGCTTACTATGAAGCTAATCATCCAATAACTGACTATTAAAATTAAACCATTGTGGTGGTTTCTAAAGAAATATGTTTTCTAAGTGCTTTTTCCCTCATCCCAAATAAAAAATCTGGGGTTTAATATCTTGCAATAGTAGCCAAGAGTATCTAGCAACCCTAGAATTCTAATGTGGCATTACCAATAGATCTTGCACTAAGGCTTTGTGAAGCAGGTAGACTGGGATGTGGGGCACCTGGGCAGAAATTTTGGTTGCAAGTTTTTTTTTTTATACTGTTTTATCTCATAATACTTTGGATCTGGGTAAATCTAACACTTGAAAATCAGCTCAAAATTGCACAATTTAAAACTTCATTCAGGGAAATCACAAGTATGATGCAAGAACTAACTGTAAGAAATAGGAACAGGAGGAGGTTGTTCAGCCCTTCGAGCCTGCTCTGCTATTCAACAAGATAATGGCTAATCCAACATTCCCTCTGTTCACTTTCTTTCCCTTTACCTGCAAAACCCTTGATTTCCCCTAGTGATCAAGAATCTCTCAG